TAGGTGCACTTCACCTCACAGAACCCCCTGTGTCTGGGGATTTTTGAAATTGGAAGCCCACCCATCCTAAAGTTGCTGAGGCTGAGGAACCCTGCTTTAGAGGGCAAGTAAAAGTACAACAAGGAAGCACCAGCCCAGAAACTGAGAGACGGTGAGTTCTAGACCTGCCTCAGGCATGGAACCAGCTGGGTGACTTTGGGCCAGTTCCAGAAGGAGGCAATGGCAAACCACTTTTGAAAAATATTGCCAACAAAATGGCATGGACTTGTTCTTGTAGTCATCAGGAAGGACACACCACATACAAACAAAACATGTGTTTATTCAACACAGCCACTCTAAACAAGAGTCTGGGAGGCAGGCCAATGCATAGGAAAATATATCATCAATATTCATTTATTAAAGAACCAGTCTGGTGTAGTGGTTAAAGGCACTGGGCTAGAAATCAGAAGGGCATGAGTTCTGCCTTTGGCACAAAGCCAGTTGGGTGACTTTGGGCCAGTCCCTCTCTCAGCCCTAGCAAGGAGGCACGGGCAAATCACTTCTGAAAAAGTTGTCCAGAAAACTGCCCAGACCTATCTAGGCAGTGGGCAGGAGTCAAGGAAGGGGCGGGGGGAGTAGAACAAAAGCATAGAGAAGCAGTAGGGTCAGAAATTCCATATGTTTGCAGTGACCCCTGGCTAGGGGATGGTTCTTGTTAACCACATCAAACCCAGAAGTATTCCAAAAGCACACCCTAGAAGTAATGTTATGTGGGCAGGTTTTTTTAAAAAGCCTTACAACCTCAAGCATGAGAAAGTACCATTTTTTACAAACAGAACTTCTCCTGTAGTAGCTTCCTTTGTACGTGTAGCTAACAACCAAGCTGCTCAGCACAATGAAGAATTTATGGTACCAAGTCACACTGTAATATTTAAGATTCAGCCATGCAGATTTTATGTCCCTTTTGCTAACTTAATGTTTTAAGCATTGCTCAGGTCATTCTAAAGAGCCAAAACAAAGAGGATTTGTAAATCATGTTGCACTGGTAATGAACTGAAAAAACAATGTGCTTAGATGGGAAGTTCATTAAGATGAGGTTTTTATGCAGCAGGAGAGCTTTGATACAAAGTAATGGTGGCTTGGATGATATCTCTCCCCCCGACCCAGCACCATAGTGGAGAAAATTCCCAAGGAAAATTTCCAAAAAAGTTCACCAAGAATTTCTTAAAATTACAGGTAGTCCTTGACTTATGACCTCAATTGGGACTGGAACTTCTATCACTAAGCAATGCAGTCATTAAGTAAATCTTGCATGATTTTTACAACCTTTTTTGCCATAGTTGTTAAGTGAATCACATGGTTGTTAAGTGAATCCAGCTTCCCCCACTGACTTTGCTTGTCAGAAGCCCCCCTGGGAAGGTTGCAAATGGCGATCAGGTGCCCCCAGGACACTGCAACCATGATAAATATACCAAGCACCTGAATTTTGATCACGTGACCAAGGGAACGCTGTGACGGTCATAACTGCAAGGATTGGCCATAAGTCACTTTTTCAGTGTTGTCGTAACTTCAAATGGTCATTAAATGAACAGTTGTATGTCAAGGACTACCTGTATCTTCAAAAGAACCATGGAAGTTAATAATCTGGGTATATACAAACACTTTCCTTTTTTGAGCCTTACAACTGGTACAAATGTATTTGAACCTGGTAGGGTAGCTGAGACAAATGAGCCAGAGTCATAGGCAAGGTTACATACATGCTGTGTTGAAAGCAATAAAAACGGTAACCCCCCAATTATTCATATTACATTGATGACCCAAACAGCCTTGTCCCCTTGGGAGATTTCATCAGGCTGTGCTTACATCTTTTCAAGCACTGACTACATTTAAAGACTATAAATTTGCTTCTTAAAAGCAACATAGGCAGGAATGAAGCTGACTAGCTTGTTTGTTTAAAAAAAGGTGACTTGCAACTTGATGACTAAAAAACTGATGTATTTCAGGAGTACAAATTTTCAGGTAAACAATCATTTCAGCTAATTATAAAACATGCAACTGAATTCATATGCTTCGTTTATGATTCAAAGGGAGACTTTGAAGATGGAGAACTACATTTCTGTATGATCCAGATTCAATAATAGGTTAAAAGACTAAGCCACTTCTATATTAATAATATATTAATGTTCTATGGATCTTTCTATCATTCTTTCTAAGCTTTAGTTCATTTTAATCACCATTAGGTATAACTTTTTTACTGCATTACCACAGCTTGTTTGTATTTTGGTTACTAATGTCACCATAACCTTGTCCACATGTATAACAAAATGTACCCCTGGCTTCTATTTTTTTCCCAAATATTTTCTCTACAATCATGAAGACAGAGCACCTCCACTTGCCAGAAATTCCCCAGTTCCAACTAACAGGAACTATTAGGTCTGCCTGCACTCTCAATGCCAATATGAAGTATTTGAGCTAAAAAGCTTCAGCAGAACTTCCAAGTCTAAAAGCACAGAAGCTTATCTTCCCTTTATTTTCCAACCCCACCTCTTTCTGAATCCTCAAGGGCCTTAATGTTCCCCTTCCCCCAGCAGGTAAGTTAAGCATCCATACACACATGTACAGACCTTTGTAGTTCACTGTGCGGAGACACTGTTTGCTCTGAATGTCCCAGAGCCGAACTGTTTCATCATGTGAGCCAGACAACAACAGGCTTCCGTCAGTGGAAACTGAGAGACATGTCACCTGATTCCTATGAAAAGAACAAGAAAGGGGCTTTACTTGAGGTTCTTCAATGTTTTCTCAGTGGTGCCATCAAGACAGGATTTGGGTCCAGAACTCCATGCTTCTGCTCAGCAGAATGAGGAGAGGGTCCTAGTTCATCAACATCTAAGGTAAATTGAAAAAAAATCACATTACACTCTAAGGCCATACAGGTAGTCCTTGTTTAAACATTGCCTCCTTTAGCAACTGTCTGCCGTTACAACAGTGATGAAAAAGTAACTTTATGACCAATCCTCACATTTGTGACCTTCACAGGTCTGTAAAGCAAAGGAAAGCTGAAGAAAGATCATAAGCACAGTCATGGCTTCACTTAATGACTGCTTTGCTTAATGACTGAGTTGCCAGTCCCAATTGTGGTCACTAAACAAGGACTACCTGAAGTCTAAAATTACCTACCTTTGATTTTATTTAACAATGTTATTAATATTTTTATTAAGAAACTAAAGTGGTTGAAAAAGTGCTTGAGGTGTTTGTGCTCCCACATTCTGCCCCTCCCCACCAAAGTCCTTTTAACCCTTTGGATGGTACTTGTCATAGAGAGGAGTCTCTCATTCAGGGATACTTGCTCATGGAATTTCTGAGTCTCCCAAAAGGTCATTGCTATCATGCTCACTATACTCTATTCTGTCTTGCTCTTATTTCTCAGACAAAGATGGAACAGACATCAGCTGTAATTCCTCGTCAAGGTAGAAGGGAACAGCAGCCCATGCTGATGAGATTCAGAAACTGGGGTTGAACCAGCACACCAAGGATTGCCATTTTTTCAGGTGGTAGTACCCCAGTGCAATCTTACCCAATGGTCCATGTGTTCGAGGAGAGATTATGGCATTCTCATCTCAAGTCTCACAAGAACCCATCTGAGACTCTTAAAATCTTGAAAAAATGTCAGCCTCTTGATTTTTATTTGAGGTCCTGCAATTTTGGGATATGACAGACATCCTGGTGCTACACTGTTCATTCCTGCAGTAGCCATAAGTGTCTTGGGCACAGGAAGCCATGCTGGTCCAGGCCAAGCATTCAAGCCTTGCCAGGCCAGGACACGTAACAGAAAAATGATATACTCACCTATGTCCTTTGAAGATCTTCCCATTCTCCTGCTCGGACTGAAAGCCTCTTTCTCTTTGCACAGGCTGAGAGAAGGGGGGAAATTATAGTTTAATGCACCATCCTGGGTAATTAAATAGGAATGTAAGACTGAGGAAGCTACCTCCTCCCAGATTAATAATCCACTATATTCTTGATAGTCTGCTCAGGCAGCAGTACTTTGGTACAGAGAGACCTTTCCGCTTATCTGTTACCTAATACTTTTAAACTGGAAGTACCCAGGATTCATATCTTCCATTGGACTATGGTTGCTCCAGAAGGAAACAGGGGTTTCCTGCTGAAATTCACACTCAGGCCTTTGGCGTATCTGGCACTGTAACCTTAAGGCTGCCCACCAACATTGCTTAGCTCCCTGAAAATCAATTTATATTCCACCCAGGCAGGAGAAGAAAATTGTTCTGTCAAAAGAGAATTAAGGTCTCCAGAAAATGGAAAATAGCAGGCTATGGAAGAAGCAATGACCATTAAAAGCAAAACAAAACCAGGAGGTAGTTTTGTTCCTTAACCCAGCTAGGAAAAAGCAGAATTTGGGGTGACCTGTGCTGTTGAGCTGATCTGCAGGAACATAAAGTCCAAAAGACAACAGCGCTACACACCAGTCACATTTTAATGAGATATGCCGTATTAGTTAATTATGGTTTTCTTTCTTCTTTTCTTTTGTGGGCTGCTCAGGGTCATATGATTTGAGTTGGCCATATAAACACTTTAATAAATAACTAACAAATGGGAAGAAAACATGGGCCCTACAGATCTGGGCAGATGACATTCCGTTCCTGACTTAACAGATTCACCAGACCTACAAAACATGGCATTTTTTTGGTCATGGTGTAAGGAAAGGCTTTCTAACTCTTTCCTTTACATTATCATGAAAAGCTTTTGTGGGCTGCCATGTAAATCTAGCTGCCAACGCGCTACTCATGAGCGCCAAGATGCAGGCAAATGTCTGTAAGGTTGCCTCAGGACCTTAGCAATCATTAGTATTTAAAAGATTTTTTTAAATGCTCCAAATCTGGCAAAGCTGTAGATCATGCGAGATTGCACTCCGCACCTCAAGTATCATGAGATTTCAAGCAAGAGGAGGAAAATCTCACAGGATTTGGTAAACCTTTGAGGTTTTGGCCATTTGTTATTTAATTTCTTACGTTTTTGCATCCATGCACGGCAGACACCCTGAACACCTATGCTGAAGCTCAACAGATTTCTATAGAACATAATGATCCCAATAAGGCTGAGATTCCACCCCCCCAACCCTGCACTGCAGAAAGTACTTGGGGTGTTTGTTAGGTACTGCAGAGAACGGGACCTACCCAGGAACAGAGGTCAACCTGGAAGATGGAGCCATCCATCCCACCACAGAACATGTGGTATTCAGCGAGGTCAAGGATCACTGACATGATGCTCACATCGAAGACGACAGAGAGGAGAAGGTTCCCAGAAGAGATCTCCCACAGCTGAGAAAGGGAAAAGGGGCAGATTAACCAAGTTTCTATTTATTTATTTATTTATTTAATTTATTTAAGCAATTTATATGGCTGACTCATGGTGGCTCTGGGTGGCTTACAGGAATAAGAGTCCCAAATACAAAACCCACTACACCCCCCCCAACCCCCAGGCGACAACAATACATTTACACTATCCATTTGATGGGCTCCAGATCGACCTGGGATCCCCGGGCCTGCTGGCAAAACCATGTTTTAGCTATAATGACACAAAATTAAGCCTATGAATATGACATGCATTACATATAAATAGCAGTACAGTGGTGCTTTTACATAAAGAGAGAAAACTCTCTTTTTCAGAGAATATAGAAAAGGATTTGGGAAGAAATAACAGAGATGAATTCTTGTAAGTGCGTTTTCCCCAACCTGGTAAGCCCACATGTTGAGCACAGAACTTTCTCCTGTTCTTTGTCTTAGCTTGTGCCTTATAATCCAGATGGAGTTTTATGTACCCCAACCTCGAGGAAACATCTACAGCTTTTTAGACAGGGTCAATCTCAATGGTACTGCCAATTGCTTGAATAAAACAATAAAACAATAAAACCTGGGATATCTGAAGGAGCACCAAACTGCACACGACTGCAATTTTGGGGTTGAGGCTATTTTGCATACAGGTAGTCTTTGCTTAACGGCCACTCATTTAGCAACTGTTTGAAGTTAAGATGGTGCTGAACAAGGGGTACTTATGATGGGTCCTTATAGTTGTAGCTGTTGCAATGTCCCCGCAGTCATGATTGTGATTTGGGCGCTCAGTGACTGGCTTGCAATTACGATGTTGCAGCATCCCGTGGTCATGTGATCGTCATGTGCAACCTTCGCTGCCAACTTCCGACAAGCAAAGTCAATAGTGAAGCTGGCAGGAGGTCGCAAATGGTGATCACATGACTGCGGGATGCTGCGACTGCATGGGATTCACCTGAGGACAGCAACTGGGACTACTGGAACTGCTGTCATTATGTTGGTGCAGTCACATGACATCACACCTTACGACCACATTGCTTAGCAATGGAATTCATGGTCCCAATTACCATTGGTAAGCGAGGACTACCTGTACCTCAAAAGTTCTAGAAAGTCCATAACACACAACAGTAACAAGCACCGCGACTGGGAAGGACTCCCAACTTCGATCTCAGTGGTTCATTCTTCTTACAGTCCAGCTGAACACGAAGGACACTGTGCTGTTTTTGTGGGACCTTGAATCAGGAGCATCCAGCATTTGCCTCATCTGTCTCTTCCCCCAAATTTCTTGCATCTCCTAGTCTCCTGAGACTAGTCAGAATACACGGTGAGGTGCTCTTACAATGCCTTCAGTTCCAAATTCCATTTCTGAACTGTGTTATACACAGGACAGAAAAACTCCATGCAGAAAGCAGGCTCTAAATCCAGGATCATGTCGCCCCTGCAGGGTTTGTGTCCAGAAGCCTTCAGAAGCGCTGCACAGGATTCGTTGTGTGTGGGCAAAAGGTTTCCATTTCCAGACCTACCAAGTACATCAGCACAAATGAATGTGCATACATACATATTTGCAAGGCAGTGGTTACGGTTTCCTACTTTAAAAAGGATTCAGCTTGAACAAAGTGAATTCAGTTCTCTGGTTGTGTACAAAATTCTGTGATCCGGTTCTGGAACATTCCATTTTTTTCCTAAAACAGGTTGACCTATCCTTTCTGGGTGTAGTTTGCTGTTTTTCAAAAGTGGATCTTCAGGAACAGTAAGCAGTTTATGATGTCCTGGACAAATTCAGCTGCAGAGAAACACTAACAGTTGGACTAGTGCATTCTGGAAGAAAATCAGAATATTCCAAGGAACACAGCATTTTGCACAAAACTACTAATACTGCTTCCAAACTGAGTATTATTATCTGCACCCTCACCTTTGCTGTTTGGTCCAAAGAGGCTGTGGCAGCTCTGGCCATGGGGCCACCAACACCACAGCAGAGATCTGTGATGGGAAGGCTATGCCGTGACCACACGTGGCGGGGCTCAGGGCTTTGGGCATCTTCCACCTGTAGCACACTGAGAAATGAACAGTTTTTAACACAATAAATAGGAGAGACATACGCAAGGATGGATTTGGAGCTGCTTTCTCCCTGCAAATATACACACCATTTAGCCACCAAAGTAATAATGCTAAAAATGCATGTTAGGGAATTCAGGTGGAAATCAATTGACCAGATAATTAAAGGTTGCCCATTTTATCTGCATCTTCATTTTAATGAAGTCTAAATTTGTAGGCTCTTCTTCCAGTTGTCCCTTTCTTCCACAGACATTTTAGATCAATGAGTCCACTCCGACTAAAGGAAGGAAGAAAAGTTTGCCAACTTTCTGTGGACACTGAATAATTTCAGAATTCACTGGGATGTTTGGGGGAATGTTTCCCATCCACAAGTCTTTTTTTCCCCTGACATTTTGTATTCCACTCAACTGAGGGTTAACATTATGCTTCTTAAGGTGAGCAGCCTTAGTTGCCTCTATGACACATGCAGCGCTCCCCACTAACAGTGAGGATGGACCAGCCAGAATGCCACATCTGCAACCGCAGCCTATCTTTACCACAAGTGTGTGCACAGTATCCTGTGCTAGCTAGCATATCTAACCAAGAGACTACTCGGCAAGCTAACATGCCCTACCAATTTGGAGGAATGTGCAACGCACATATATTCAAAAAGATTATGTGCCACCAAGTCAGTGTCAACTTTTAGCAACCACATAGATAGATTTTCTCCATGACTCAAAAAGAGGTAAGAAGTTCAAACAAGAAAAGCCAATATATGAATCAGCATATAGATATAATGGGTGCAATGAGAGCTGGCAAGAACAGAAAGACATGCAGAGGCATCAAATTAGATTTAGTTAGGTTTCATTTCATCTTTGAACGTCTCCTGCCTTTAATTTCTTTGGCTCACTGTTTGTCACTTTTTTGTAATTTGCGGGAATAGCACAAAGGTACATACTGAGGTGTGTTCTTCTGAAGTGCTTTCTTCTTTTGCAAACTTTGGGGTAATCTGATGGCTGGTGTGGGTCTTCCGGGCTGTGTGGCCGTGTTCTGGAAGTTTTGTTTCC